ATTTTTTTTTTTTTTTGCTCTTTTTTATCAGGCCATTCTTCAATTTTTCATTGATTTTGGTGAAGTAGTCTTACATGATGCTGATTCCAGTCTGAAGACCTTTTTCCGTTCATGTCTAAGTCGGTAAGCATCATAAAATCATGCCTTTTAACTACTTGATTTTTTTAATATTCATCAATATATTGGGTATTACAATTCATCGTTGCTCCACTCAAGTTTCTTTTTTGATTTTCAATTTAAAAAAACTCTCATTTGAATTACTTGTGACAGTTAACTTATTTGATGTCAGTACTCGACTTTGAAATTAAGTAAGAGGCTTGGAAACCAAAAAGTAGTAAGTTTGCTTGTTGGATAAAATCACGTTTGCTAAAGTGAGGGTTATATCTTTTTAGGTGTAGAAGTTCCTCCCTTTTCACTATTTATTAGTGATCTCGAGAATAGGGCCCCAAAACTCTTGCGACTTGTATTACCTCCTAGAGGAAGGTTTAGGAAGGCAGTTCGCTATAGATATTTGAGTGGTTACACGTGAGTAACTTACCCTGGCTTCCAACAATACAGGAACCAGCTAGTACAAGTGCTAGCATACAAACAATTAACTAAATCATACACGGATTACTTTTTGTTGTCACTTGTAAGTGCATCTTTGTATAGCTTACGCTTTTCACGAGGGTTGCACCCTCTTTGAACTTCTTTATCTCTTATTGGATGTTTTCACTTTATGCAAAAGAGAGAAAAAAAAAAAAAAATCAAGTCCTAAGACGAAAAGGTGAAGTTCTATTGGACAACTATCTTTTCACTGTGTTATAGCATTTTTTGGTGGAAAACCCTCAGTTTTACATTAGTATATTGATATGTTGGCCGTAATACACTCATCAATCTTATTCTAATATGATTACAGTGAGTTTGCAGATCCAATTGTTGCAGAAGCAGTTCTAGAATTTCTGAATACAAATCAGAATAAATTTCTTACTTCTTTTCCTACATTATTGCCACAGGTATGAGTTGTTGACTTGTTTCTAATTTTTCACTCATACCAGTAACATCCGATTTTATTGAAAATTTTCTTCAGTCTGTTTTTGAAGAACTGAAATGTATACGGCTTTTCAAACATACTGGGGAAACAAATTTTCATTTGTATCAGTGTCATCTTTCCTCAACTTTTTTATTTATTTAGTTATTCTAAACAACACTACATATGAATCTGAAGTAAATGAGACATATCGATATAATATGCTGGTTAAGTGGCACTTTCCTTCCCTTTGGTGGCCACCAAATTGACAAATGTTGCACTTACCAAGTTTATAGCCACTTACTGTCAAAAGTGATCACGACTGCTGGGGCTTCTTTGGCCATTCACTGATTAGAATTCACTGTGAGACTGGGAGAGAGAGATTTACCTCTAATTCAGATTGATAAATTTGCAGTTCTATCCATTGTTGCTAAAGCTGATTGCTTGGAATGGAGAAAAGTAAGTTGTTAAACAGAATTGTTTTTATTTGACTTCTATTTTCTCAATTTTTTTTAAATTATTTCTACTCCTGGATGAACAAGTTCTAGAAATATAAACTTTGTTCTGGGTCAGGATTTTTGGACGTTGGTAATTATTTAAGTGGATGTAATTTGAAGACGAGAGCTAATTGGTGCCGTTGCTTTCTTGCTGCAGGTTAGAGAAACCATTTCTTAGACTCTTTCCAGCATTGATTTCTCCTGGGTCTTTCCTTCCAATGTTTCCATCTCTCATTGATTTCCCTAGTGAGTTCATGTTTTTCGGTCATTCCTTCTGTGATTTTCTTTTTGTTTCCGTACTTTCATTACACTGTTATTTGATTCCAAATTTCAACTTCTGTTGGTAATTGATTACAGTTTTGGTAGTCGCATTGGAAAGGGTAGAGCGCAGCTCAGGATCACTAGTTGGAAATAACTTAGCTTCAATCCAGAAGAGTAAAGTTCCTGAGGTGATATCAGAATTCAGATCTCCAGAAAGCCCATGGATAAAAGTCCAATTCATAATATGTTATAATCCTCATGTTGTATTGATACAGATGTTACTTGCACTCATGGATGAGGCTTACACTGGTTCAACCATTGGGGATGGAGGAGGAGACTCTGGAACCGAGGCTAGTAGCACAATAGATGTTGTCGATCCTCTCTTCCTCGAACTTTTGAAGGATGAAAATGATGGTCTTTCGGTAGGTGTTCTTTCTCTATGTCTATATTCTGAATTTTAGTGACTGGTTAAGTGGAACTATCATAGCAACGGTTTAGACTATATTATGGGAATACAATAATTTAAAATATGTTCACAAGTACGCACTCGCATTACATTTATAGCATAATTGCTTGTTTTATTTGTGTCTTAACCAACGTATTTGATAGAAACATTCCGCATGCTGCTCATTGTCCCTGAATAGTATAGCTTTTAATATTGCGTCGCTTTGGCTTCAAAACTGCCTGAAGGGCTTGGGAAACTTTGTACCTACAGAATCTTTGTTTTGTAGCTGGATGGCATAACTTTCTTGGGTTTACCTAATATTCTTTCAGGAACGACATTGGAATTCTCCTGGGATGACTGCAGTAATTCAGATTACAATAAATACTGCTCAATCTGATAGGCTGAAGCAAATGCTGAACGTGACACCTCGGATTCTTGATGTCTACTTTTCTGTGGCACTGCAAGAGGTCAACAATTGTATGATGCTGCTTTTTGCGATTTCAGTTTGTTCCAGACTTTTTTTGGTTTATTTTAGTTGGTAGTTATTTTAGCTATTGATATTTTACCTTCCCTTTCCAGCATTAATCTGTGCATTGATTCCTCTGCTTATGTCAAGAAACTCAACATTGTTACCTGACAAAGATTTCTCCTATAAGGTGTGCCTCTGAATGTGGATTAAGTTATGTTCTTATTGTTGTTAGGTTTGCTGCGAATGGGTATTACACTTTGTACTAAATCAAATCACTTAGACATGTTTTCTGGACTGTTCATTTTTGACAATCTTTAGTTGGTCATTCTGATGAGTTTATTTCTTCATTTTATTTGTTTGAAAGTTTCCCCTTTTTATCCATTTTCATACCTGAAATACTACAGATACAGTTGTCTGATCAAGTTCGAATGCATGATGTTTATTTTTGGGACAAGCAAGACGTTTTTAGTTGGTTTTGACCAAAATTGACACCAAGCTGCTGATCAAATTCAAATTCTTTTGTTAACGTTTTTAGTTGTTGTTGATCAACTTCAAGCTGCTGACCAAAATTGACGTTTTTAGTTGTTTATCTACAAATTCAAATTCCCTTTTCCCTTATATTTGTATTTTTCTTTCCTGAATCTATGATACTATTACTTTTAGGTATTTCTTTTGTTGTCTAGAACATGGATTAAAATTTGCATATCATATTAGAATGTGATGTTCAGAATTTGAACTTTTTAGGTCTATGTTTGTAGGTTCGTAAGAGGCTCCTAGAATTTATGCTTGCTGCATTTCAGCGGTCTCCGGACTTCATTGCACTTCTCAAGGTAATTTGTACTGATAATTTATGGGCTCCATGTTTTTGCTAATCAATGACGATGTAACTTCTAATAAGCTTTTCTCCTTTCCATGATAGTTTGTGAAGCACATTCAAACAATTCTGGACATTTCTTTTCCACTTATGATGAATATTTTATGAATGCATCATTATTTTATGTTCGTACATGCTGAGATCATATTATTGGGTATCTTTTTGTTTCTTATCTATATCAGATTTCAGTTTTTTCTTTTTATTTTTTCTTTTTTATTTTTTTTGCAGAAGCCTATAATCAATCGACTTGGTGAAGCATATGACAACCCTGCAAAGGTTGTTGCTTACATCTCTTATCCAGCAAAACAGATAAATGCAGCAACTGATTGTTGAATTACTTCCTCGTTTCATCTTTTTAGACAGAACTAGCACTTCAATTGTGTTGGGCCATTGGAGAACACGGTGGCGGTGGCAGATCTCACAAAGATGTAGCCCGTGAACTTTTCGAGAGCTTAGAGTTGCTTTTATATGAAAATCTTTTATCGAGGTATGCTTTACGACAACTACCCTTGCATTCATTTTCAAAACTTTCCATTTTTAATCTGCTGCTTCTCTTTGGTTTGCTTCCAAAGTCGTTTAGGTTTGAGACAGGACTCTGGTGACAATTCCAGTGGTGAAAGCTTCAGAAAGTCATCGCAGTCGAGGCTTCTTTGTTTTGTTATTACTGCCATTGCAAAACTTGCAACATACCATCGTGAATTACTACCGAGAGCACGGGTCTCATTGGGAAAGGTCTCTTTCTCCGCATTTAGCATTTAAAAATTTGGGCTGGAAGGATCTCAAAGTCTTGCAACTCTGTCCAAAATGATCAATGTTCTTACATCTCTCTCCCCACCTTCTTGTTCTTGCTGCTCCTGGATGCAGGGGATTTGCAGAGAAGGTAAAATGGATATAAGTTGTTGACACTGCTGAATTAAATTACATGAACAGGTAGCTCGATCTCAAACCTCAGATGCGAGAGTCTGGACTCGGGCTCACGACTATCTAGGACTATTGAGTGACACTGGAATTTCGTTATCCATTTTGGGGCCTTCGAAACCTGCCAGTAAAGATGCACATAACCCAGGCACTGTCAACTGGAGTCAAGGTGGAACTAAGATGGTTGCGCACATTCCATTTTACATTCTCCACGAACAAGGTCACCTTCTTCTTCTCCTTAGAAAAAACAGAGTAACCAATATCATGTAGACTAAGCCATGGATACTATTACTTCTCTTGCAGGTCCTCCTTTCCATGATTTCTCATTTTCAGATATTCTCCCAAGGAGATGATGAACGTCCTCCTTTAAGCTAAACCTGTAACTCATCAAGCTTTGCTCGTCTCAATGTCGTCAACGTCGCCATCAAGTAATTGAGGTATTGTACCTTGTAGGAGTAATCAAATTCGACGCTTTCACATAAGAAATTGCGGAGAGTTTTTCCTCCACACTCAACAAGGAAAAGGGATGAAACCTATATGTAAATTATTACATAAACAGCTTGAAAGCCATTTATTTCAGCTTATATTGGGTGTCAAACTTCACCCATCTATAAGCACTTGTAGTCCTAAACACAGAAAGACAAGGTTTTTTCATACCAAGTATTACAATTCCTTTTTAAAATTGTTGTACTTGGAAAGCCTGTTTGATTGAGGCTACAGTTTCATTCATAATCCTATGCATGGAAACCATTGAATCAAATGGGATCCTTTCAGTTATTGAATGATCAACGATGTTGAGGGCCACTGTCACGATGCTACCATCAGCTTCAATTTCCTGTCCATTCATTTTCAGGTTATCTGGAAGGACAACAAAACCAGAAGACAAGATAGCCACATTATCTGGGTTTCCTCCACGTAAGAGTATCGACATGGCAAAGAGATCAACAGGTGCATAGACTATATAAGATCCGGTTGCGTCGAAGTAACTCTCTTGCAGGTAGAAGACCTCGACTTTTCTCGGTGAAGACTACAAATATGGTAACTTTTCAAGTTAAAGTTTGAAGAGTTGAAGTGTTGCTGTGCATGAAAAAAAAAAAAAAAAAAAAAAGAAATCGACAAACTTACATTCACTTGAATTATCGACACCCGGTTTCTCGAGTCGTTTCCATTGATGATGCAGGCAAGTTCCGTGATGACGTAACCAAATGAAAGGATGTCCCACTGCATATATGAACGAAGCTGTTGAGAACTAGTAGCATGTACAAATGTTGATAAGACCTATTTGAAGAACCTGTGAACTTATGAAGTCTCGAACTTCCCCAAGTCTGGAGAAGTAATGCACTAATCTCAACATTACCTAGCTCGAACTATTTAGCTTTCATCATGAATTAGCTTCTTGTTCATGATATGCTTAAATGTTAGTGATATTTACGAAAATGAACCTTATATAACAATGCAAACTTGAATATGTACCTTGTTTCGAGACTTCTCATGACGAAGGAACTGGAAAACTTCATTCGGATTGTTCGGAACTTGAGCTGAAGTAGCAAAGATCACCGATGTACACGGAGGACGTCCAGGATCATTCTCTTTGGCTTTCTGGGTCATAACCCTAATGTCATGAGGTCCAGGAATGGGAATTTTCATCCATGGATTTTCTTTAGAACCACTCACAACCTTATAAAAGGTCCTTGTCATTCTCTCAGCCAACTTCAACACACTAAGCCTTCCAGCTTGTAGTATTGAAACTACGTTAACATCATCAAAAAAAAAAAAAAAAAATGTTATAAGATTCGGTTGGATATACTCATTTACGTGTTTATCGGTCCCTCAATTTAAAAAAGTTTCAGATAAGTCCTCAAAGTTTTAACCTTGTGTCTTATTGGTTCCCAGACTTTCACTTTTATGTCTAACGAGCCCTGGATCTATTAGAAATCCATATAAAAATTCAGGGACTAACTTGAAATTTAAACTAATTGTAATGACGGGAATTAGAATATGAACGTAATGAAAAAAGTGAGTACCCCCATTGATTGTTGAAGTGCTCTTGGCCTCTAAAGTAGTTTGCCAAATGCAGTATCTAACCAGGGAAGAAACCCATCTCTTTGCACCAAATGCCAAACCAGAGTTGATATATGGTTGGAACATTGGTTGAACACATCTGTTGTCAACTTCCACATGCTCAACCCACATGACCTAAACAAAATAATCAAACAACAGCCCTAAATTATCAAGTCATTTTGTAAGAAAAAGAAGGATATCAATCGATCAACTCAAACGCCATTTTAACAAAAAAAAACGAGGAATAAGAAACAAGAAACAAGAGGTACTTAACACGGGTTTTTCTTTTCATAAAAGAGATACAAGAATAAAAAAAAAAAAAAAAACGAAGAATAAGACACGAGAAACAACATGTTCCAAAAAACGTGGAATAAGAATGTAACAGCCCAAGTCCACCAGATAGTGTACTTTTTGAGTTTTCCTCTCAAAATTTTAAAAGGCGTCTACTAGGGAGAAGTTTCTCCACACCATTATAAAAAATGTTTTATTCCTCCCTCCAACTGATGTGGGATCTTAGAAAGAAACAAGAGGTACTAAACACAGGGTTTTTTTTTTTTCCAAAAAATAAAAAACGCAAAAATGCTTTCCTTTCCACAAAAAAGAGAAACATAATTTAAAAAAAACGTGGAATAAGAAACATGAAACCACAGGTACTAAATACAATTTTTCTTGCTACAAAAAAGAAACATGATTAAAAAAAACGTGGAATAAGAAACAAGAAACAAGAAACAACCGGTGCTAAACACGAATTTTTTCTATTCATAAAAAAGAACCAAGAATAAAAAAAATAAAGCATGAAACACCATAAACAACATGTTCCAAAAACATTGAATAAGAATGAAACATCCCAAGTCCACTATTAATAGATAAATGTTCTCTTTAGACTTTTTTTCAAAGTTTTTAAAACGCGTTTGCTAGGGAGAGGTTTCCACACCTTTATAAAAAATATTTTGTTCCCCTCTTCTCTCCAACTGATGTGGGATCTCACACAGAAACAAGAAACAACAAGTACTAAACACCGTTTTTCTTTCAACAAAAAGAGAAACATAATTAAAAAAATGTGGAATAAGAAACAAGATATAAGATCAAAACAACGAGAGACAATAAACAAGAAATTGAACCACTCAAACCAAGAAACGAGAAACAATTATCGAAAAAGAGAGACTACGATACTCGAAGCTCTAAGTATATGCTACGATACTCGAAGATCGAGAAAGAAAAAGACGAAAAACCTTAGAGATTCCATCAGGACATGCTTGGATCAAACAGCCAGAGGGTTTTCTACAAAAGCCAATGGATGGATAAGGGAAGAGATCTTCCAAGGAAATATCAACAACTCCCCATGTGTATGGAGCTAATTGCTTGCAAAACCTCCCAAAGTAACTCTCTCTTGTCTCCACAAGTGGTGAGGCGAGCTGAAACTCAGCTGTCATCTGCCCACAAAAACCCCAACATCATTAAAAAAAACAAAACAAAACAAAACATACAACCAACCTTATCCATAAAAACCCTAATTTCTGATCATGTCCATGGGTATTTTCAGACATGTTCTTTACTAAGAGTATACGAGAAACGTACCGGAAATATACGAACAAAATTACGTGAAACCATGACAATATAGAGCGATATGAGAGCAATAGGTTTGTTGGGGTTCGACCAAACGTACCATGTCGTAAGAAGATTTAGAAACCGTCGAAGATTTTGAAAATTATGAGCTACTTTCAAATCTAATCTAAGTTTTTATTTTTAAAAAATTTTAGAATTTGAAAAAAAAAAATTAATTTTTTTTAGAACGAGGGGAACCCTGTAATAAATGTTATCGAACCCAACATACCTCTTAAAAACCTAAATGATAATGAAGTGATGATGTAATGATGATGTTCTTGTTGTCGAAGAACGAAAATTAAATTGTGTTACCACTTGCAAAGTTCCATCGTAAGTCCCTCCCGGTCCCATTGATGACCACATTTGAAGAATTGCTGCTCTTGAAACAATGTCCGAGAAGATAAGTGACCATTGTTCCTAAGAACCAACGAACAAACGAACAAACAATGTTAAAACTCTCCAAAAAAAAAAAAAAAATCAAATTTATTGAAACCAAAAAAAAAACATAAACTAACCAAATCCATCAAAAACCCAACAATGCTGAGTGGATCCATTTTGACAAATTCAGTTTGTCTTGAAAACTCAGTTTGAAGATAGTGTTGTTGTTGTTGTTGTTGATTGTCTTTAAAGCCCAAATTTGTGTTGTTGTTGATGTTGGATTCAGCGTCGGATTTGGTGTTGAAAAGTTCGAAGTCAAGAAGGCTGGAAGAAGGAGGCTCTCCAACCTCAACCATTTTCATTATATCCATCAATGTATAGTAAGATTCAGCTTCTTCATTTTGTTGGGGCATCCATAGAGGATCTCCATCAAGAGCTGCTTTTATGAGCTCGTCCATCGCCGTGTCGGCGAGGTCGGCGATTCTCGAAAAGTTTGCCTCCGTGCACACCGACACCGCCATCAGAAGGTCGCTCGCTCTATGGAGCTCGTTACCTTTTACATTCGAGTTTGAGTTTGATGCTGATTGATCGAAGATGGGAAAGTTTGAGGCACGTTGAGGAGAGTTGGATGTGTGAGAAGAGCCAGCACCTTCATTGTATTGTGGGTAATTGTTGTTCATCTGTGATTATGAACATAAGATAAAACTATCACATTCGAAAAATCGAAAGATAAACACGTAAAGGATTATAAACTAATTAATTAATAATAAAACGTTATACAGATAAAGAGATGAACGCGTTAAGAAAAAATTACTAACTGGGTTGTAGTAATACTTATCAAAAGACGAACATGTCAAAGAAAAAAACATTAATTGATCAACATTAACACATTACGAGAAAGCTACTAACTAGTTAGCTATATGTATACATATCAAGAGATGAACGCGTTAAGAAAAAATTACAAACTGGGTTGTAGTAATACTTATCAAAAGACGAACATGTCAAAGAAAAAAACATTAATTGATCAACATTAACACATTACGAGAAAGCTACTAACTAGTTAGCTATATGTATACATATCAAGAGATGAACGCGTTAAGAAAAAATTACTAACTGGGTAGTAGTAATACTTATCAAAAGATGAACATGTTAAAGAAAAAAACAGTGACTGATCAGCAGTAACACGTTATGAGAAAACTACTAACTAGTTAGCTACATGTATACATATCAAGAGATGCATGCATTAAGAAAAAATTACTAACTGGGTTGTAGTAATACTTATCAAAAGACAAACATGTCAAAGAAAAAAACATTAACTGATCAACAGTAACCCATTACGAGAAAGCTACTAACTAGTTAGCTACATGTATACATATCAAGAGATGAACGCGTTAAGAAAAAATTACAAACTGGGTTGTAGTAATACTTATCAAAAGACGAACATGTCAAAGAAAAAAACATTAATTGATCAACATTAACACATTACGAGAAAGCTACTAACTAGTTAGCTATATGTATACATATCAAGAGATGAACGCGTTAAGAAAAAATTACTAACTGGGTTGTAGTAATACTTATCAAAAGACGAACATATCAAAGAAAAAAACATTAACTGATCAACATTAACACGTTACGAGAAAGCTACTAACTAGTTAGCTACATGTATACATATCAAGAGATGAACGCGTTAAGAAAAAATTACAAACTGGGTTGTAGTAATACTTATCAAAAGACGAACATGTCAAAGAAAAAAACATTAACTGATCAACATTAACACGTTACGAGAAAGCTACTAACTAGTTAGCTACATGTATACATATCAAGAGATGAACGCGTTAAGAAAAAATTACTAACTGGGTTGTAGTAATACTTATCAAAAGACGAACATGTCAAAGAAAAAAACATTAATTGATCAACATTAACACGTTACGAGAAAGCTACTAACTAGTTAGCTACATGTATACATATCAAGAGATGAACGCGTTAAAAAAAAATTACTAACTGGGTTGTAGTAATACTTATCAAAAGACGAACATTTCAAAGGAAAAAACATTAACTGATCAACATTAACACGTTACGAGAAAGCTACTAACTAGTTAGCTACATGTATACATATCAAGAGATGAACGCGTTAAGAAAAAATTACAAACTGGGTTGTAGTAATACTTATCAAAAGACGAACATGTCAAAGAAAAAAACATTAATTGATCAACATTAACACGTTACGAGAAAGCTACTAACTAGTTAGCTACATGTATACATATCAAGAGATGAACGCGTTAAGAAAAAATTACTAACTGGGTTGTAGTAATACTTATCAAAAGACGAACATGTCAAAGAAAAAACATTAACTGATCAACATTAACACGTTACGAGAAAGCTACTAACTAGTTAGCTACATGTATACATATCAAGAGATGAACGCGTTAAGAAAAAATTACAAACTGGGTTGTAGTAATACTTATCAAAAGACGAACATGTCAAAGAAAAAAACATTAATTGATCAACATTAACACGTTACGAGAAAGCTACTAACTAGTTAGCTACATGTATACATATCAAGAGATGAACGCGTTAAGAAAAAATTACTAACTGGGTTGTAGTAATACTTATCAAAAGACAAACATGTCAAAGAAAAAAACATTAACTGATCAATATTAACACGTTACGAGAAAGCTACTAACTAGTTAGCTACATGTATACATATCAAGAGATGAACGCGTTAAGAAAAAATTACTAACTGGGTTGTAGTAATACTTATCAAAAGACGAACATGTCAAAGAAAAAAACATTAACTGATCAACATTAACACGTTACGAGAAAGCTACTAACTAGTTAGCTACATGTATACATATCAAGAGATGAACGCGTTAAGAAAAAATTACAAACTGGGTTGTAATAATACTTATCAAAAGACGAACATGTCAAAGAAAAAAACATTAATTGATCAACATTAACACGTTACGAGAAAGCTACTAACTAGTTAGCTACATGTATACATATCAAGAGATGAACGCGTTAAGAAAAAATTACTAACTGGGTTGTAGTAATACTTATCAAAAGACGAACATGTCAAAGAAAAAAACATTAACTGATCAACATTAACACGTTACGAGAAAGCTACTAACTAGTTAGCTACATGTATACATATCAAGAGATGAATGCGTTAAGAAAAAATTACTAATTGGGTTGTAGTAATACTTATCAAAAGATGAACATGTCAAAGAAAAAAACATTAATTGATCAACATTAACACGTTACGAGAAAGCTACTAACTAGTTAGCTACATGTATACATATCAAGAGATGAACGCGTTAAGAAAAAATTACTAACTGGGTTGTAGTAATACTTATCAAAAGACGAACATGTCAAAGAAAAAAACATTAACTGATCAACATTAACACGTTACGAGAAAGCTATTAACTAGTTAGCTACATGTATACATATCAAGAGATGAACGCGTTAAGAAAAAATTACAAACTGGGTTGTAGTAATACTTATCAAAAGACGAACATGTCAAAGAAAAAAACATTAATTGATCAACATTAACACGTTACGAGAAAGCTACTAACTAGTTAGCTACATGTATACATATCAAGAGATGAATGCGTTAAGAAAAAATTACTAATTGGGTTGTAGTAATACTTATCAAAAGATGAACATGTCAAAGAAAAAAACATTAATTGATTACCAATAACACGTTAGGAGAAAACTACTAACTAGTTAACTACATATATACATATCAAGAGATGAACACGTTAAGAAAAAAATACTAACTGGGTAGTAATAATACTTATCAAAAGATGAACAAGTCAAAGAAAAAAAATTAACTGATTAGCAGTAATACGTTACGAGAAAACTACTAACTAGTTATCTACATATATACATATCAAGAGATGAACACGTTAAGAAAAAAACCACCAACTAGTTAATAGTAATACTTATCAAAAGATGAGCATGTTAAAGAAAAAACATTAACTAATTAGCAATAACACGTTACGAGAAAATCACTCACTTATCTAAAAATGAACACGTTAAAATAAAAAGACATCAACTAGCATTAATACATACTTATCAAAAGATGAACACATTAAAGAAAAAACAAAGAACATTATGAGAAACCCACTAATTGATTAGCAACATGCGTACATATTAAAAGATGAACACGTTAAAAAAATCATTCACCATCAAGTAGCAACATGTACTTAACCAAAGATGAACCTGAACATGTAAAGAGAAAAGAAATAATAACCAACTAGCAGTAACATGTTATGAGAAACCCACTAACTAGTTAGCAACATATATATCAACTGATAGATGAACAAGTTAAGAAAAAGACAATAACTAGTGAGTAATAACACGTAATTATGAAAAGATAAACATGTTTAAAAAAAAAAAAAAAAACACAAAGACTAACTAGCTAGTAGTGACACATTACGACAATCCCTAGCTAATTAGCAACCTATATACACATCAAGAAAAAATCACTTACAAATTAGTAATAACACATACTTATCAAAAGATGAACTGGTTAAAGAAAAAATAAATACTAAGTAACAGTAACATATTAAAAGAAATAAGCTTAGAAGTGTTCTCGACTAAGAAGAAATAGGTTAGCTTAAGATTTGTTGTTCTCGTATAGTTTTTGTAGATTTCGTTTAGGGTTTGAATCCTCTTATAAAATGAATTTGTCGATTTCGTTTAGGGTTTGAATCATCTTATAAAATAAATTTGATGAAGATGTTATTAAAAATAAAATATTTTGATAAGATTTGATGACGTTTGTGAAATACTTTCGAAACCCTAGTCTTATAATTTAGATGAAAACCCTTTTCTTAAAAGAAGAAGATTAGGGTTAAGAAGAGAGGATGATGATAAACATGTATGACTAAGGGCTTTCTCCCTTGATCTTCGTGTTCTTGTTCTTGTTCTTCGTGTTCTTGCTTTTGTTTTTAGAGAAGAATCAAAACTTGACCTAAATAAAAAACATGCCTTGGGTTAAAATTTTAGGGTTTTTTTTCCACCAAAGGATCATAAACATGAACTAATTCTTCATTTTTATTCCCGATTGTTCTCTTGTTGTTTTTGTTCTTCGTGTTCTTGTTTTTTTAAGAATCAAAACTTGACCTAAATAAAAAAACATGCAACAACATCAAAACGGGTTTAAAAAATTAGGGTTTTGATGATAATGAAACCAAGATTTTACCTTCACAATCCCTTGAACCTTGAATTTCTTGCAGTAAATCCCTGAAAAGATCAAAATCAACTCAAGAACAAAGATAAAAAATAAAAAAATAAAAAATTAAACAAAAAAACAAAATACCCTTTGAGAATTATGAATCGAAATGGGTATATTGTGAGTGAATGAAGAAGGTGTTAAGATATATATATATATATATATATATATATAGTGAAAAAAATGGCTAGTGGTTTTTGCCTGACCGGAGAATACGATGAACATGTTCAGCTTTGTGGGCTGTGGGTTTCCATATATGATTTTTCCAGTCAGGGTTTCCAGATGAACTGCACTCCTGCCCACGTGTCATATCCGACGTGGCTCTTCTTTCCACTCTCATTGGCTCTTTACTCTCCTCAAAACGCTTCTCTTCAGGATTCTTCACTCTTTCTTCCTTCTTTTCTGACTTCAAAACTGTTACGTGGCACTTTCCTTTATCAAACTATTATATATATATATATATTTACTCAATTACTTATTTGATATAAAAATTATAATATAATTAACAAACTTATTTACTAATTTATCTCTATATCTTATAAATAAATTATTTATTTATTTTTAGAGATTTTATTTGAATTTTAGATTGGATTTAAAAAACTGGATCTCGTGGGTAGTCAATAGACCTGGTTCATATAAGGGGTAGTGCCCCCGAGATAGGGTCACTCCATGGATGAGTTGAGTTCAAATAAATGAAAATATTATAAATTATGATTGAGTCAGTTTGATCAATTCACGATTCTGATCTCGATAAAGCTACTCAAAATCAATTGGCAAGAGGTCAACGATTACATGAGTTGCTCAAACAATCCCAATCAGCCCCTCTCATAGTAGAAGAACAAATAATGACTATTTATAGCGGAGAACAGAACCAACCCAATAATGCTTGGGTTGGGTTGGGTTGGGTTGAGTTCATTCTCGATTGAAGATTTTACAATTTGAACCATTAGGGTTAGATCTTAAAAAAATGTCTCAACCTGAACCGAACCAACCCACAACACTCGTGTATATAGACTATGTAACGACTCGAAATTTTCTACTTAATTTAAGGTCGTTACTGAATATGTACCATAAACATTGAATGCGGAAAACTTCATTTAAATTCCATAAAACATAATCTTTAACTTAAAACAGAGTTATGGATTTACGTGTTTCGAAAACATCTTTAAAACGACACAATAAAATACCCAAAATAAAATAAATAAGCGTTTAAGTTTAAAACATCATATTCTAGCCTAAGTCTAAGAAAATAAATACCACTATCCTATGCATGTGCCATGATCTCGAGTTGTGATGTCGTCGTCAGCCATACAGGAATACCTTGCTTTAACCTGAAAAATGTAGTAGCACAAGACTTGAGTATTTAAAGAAATACTCATTAAGTGACTCCACTATTGGGGTTAAATGCAACAATCACATGCAATGAAATGATGGAACCTATCTTTCGTTTCGTTTTCCCTACGGTGTTGTCCTAACGGATAATTGTGGACGTGTACCATATACTCTACACACAGCCCATACGTGCGAGTATGGGCTCTCCAACTAGTTCGCACACCGCTGGGCCACTATCCTTATCCGGTGGGCATACTCTGGGAGCCTCTTATGTCGAGACCCGTTAAAACTAGTAACCGTCACGACAACGCTATGCAACGCATAATAATCGTTGTCCTGCCATTGGATGTACGTGTCCGTACCCTCGTGATGGGATTGGGGTATCCCCCAGATACATGAACACATATAATGCCTGAGGTCCCCACTACTTCTACATTTATCATTAATGAACATAACTCCCCTGTCACGTTCCATGCTCCATGTCCTTCTCATTTTCAATTTACATTTCATATATATTCCTATTGGGGTTATGATTCCAAACAGTTTACCTTATTTCATATCATACAATTCATGCTGTTTACATTCAAACATTTCATACAATCATGTCATAACCATTCAAGAACAACATATCGTTACATGCATTACACATCACATCAGACTAAACAGCATACATAGCATACATTCACGTTCACATGACTACGTACTTAAGCACAATAATCTAGCATAGAATGTATCATATCATAAACAAGTCATAACGTAAACACTTCATAGTCATATCATTCTCCAGCTTACCATAGCCTTAACGTTCTTATACCTATCACAGACATATCATTACGTAACGTACCTTAGTCATATCATCACAAGAACGTATCTTAACGCTATCGTTCTATCAATCTATCACAAACCTATCACTTTCTACCCATAACCTAACTGTATTCTTTCATCAATCTCTCCTATCCATAACACTCCGGTATGTAACCTAGCCTTAACGTTTCATGAACGTATCTTACTCCTATCGTTACATTTCGTTTTGTGCATCCTTCTCGTATCATATCTCAAACATATCCTTGAGCACATCGTACCATAGTTATTATCATACAATCCACATATTATAATATAACATAACATATAGGAAGCATATCGATTCACAGACAATTCACACATATCAATATACATGACACGTGCAGAATCACATGGCACGTGTCAACATCAAATATAACCATGCCGATAGTAAGGTCACTTACCTGGCTCGCTTAAGTCGTTGTCACAAATATATCTTTAATGAAAGTTCGATTCCGTTCTTTGAAATCCGAGCCAACCTATACGAGCTCATAACATCAGTTCAAACTTCCCTAATTTACATTGGCCATCATAAAATTCTGATATTTTTTGTTAGACAAAATTGAAAGGAGCTCACTGCCCTCTCTGATATTTACTGTTTTATTGTTAAATCCTGTTCAACAAATCTTTCCTCAATCTCCCTCTCTCTCTCTCATTATTTTCATCTGTAAGTAGTTTTCAATTGTGTAAACCGATATTACTGCCCAATTTTAAGTCCATTGGCTACGATCTTTTAGTTTATAGATCTGCCAACTAAAATTTTATTCAATCTAACTTATAATCTTATTTCGTATAACTTAGAATGCTAACAAAAATTTAATCAATTATATATGTGATCTGATTATTACAAACATGTTAAGATATGAAAGAAGATTTGATCCTAAATTAATTTCTTATAATCATAACTATATAAACGAAAAGGAAATCTGAGATAAAATTTTACAGTAATAACTGACAAAAATCTCTAAATCTGCAATTGTTGAAGGGATGAGAGGTTAGTGGAGAGAGGTAGGGAAATATATATATATATATATATTAATTTTAATTTTAATTAATTTATTAATTTATTAATTTATTATTATTATTATTTTAACTATTTTATTTATTTATTTATTTGTTTATTTATTTTTGGGTTATTACAGACTCGGTTAAAAAGAAGAAAATAAAATAAGATCTATTTGATGGATAGACTTTCGAACACTTTAATAATTCTCGTAAAATTATTGCAATATCTAAATACTTAAATTGCATCACTATTGATTAATTTTAATAAATTTTCCATTTATTAAACTAATCACATAGCAATTAGTATTGATATATTTTAATCAAACCAAATCTGAGTAAATCTTCCAAACTTAGAATGTCATAAAAGAAATAAAAAGTCAAAGATCAAAAGTCAAAGATAATACAAATTTATAAAGAAATTAAAGAAATTCATCACTCTTTACACATCATGCTGAATTAGAACAAAATAATAATAAAATCAATTTATGATAAATATTAAAATATTATACGGGTTTGGAAAATGCTTTCAAAAATAATTTTCTATGATTGAGCCACCATAAAGAAATGTGCACGTTATCAGTATCTGTAGTAACTATCAATTCTTGAAAGTCTTTTAGAACCATCATGTGACAACTCATACCCGGGATTCAGCGTCTATGTGCCCTGGTATTCTGCATCCATTGCGACATGGTTACTTTACCTACTCCTCGTTTCTTAAGAGTGAAAATTGTTCCTATAAATCAACACGAGTTCTTTCAGCATGTTTTGTCTTCACTCCAATACATCTTAGGAAAATTCTTTCGAAGTCACCAACATAAAATTACTCAAAAGAAAACATATACGTTGAATTGAAAGATGTTTTGTCAGGTATTCACGTGTTTTATCCTCACTATCATGTGAATTGAAAATAATGGTAGTGATTGGCATGTCACTAAATGGTGTGAAAGTTATCTTATTTATAATCAAATAAATTATAAGAATATGGAAAGAGTAATAAATGAAAGAACCGTGTATAATAAAATATCAAATATGATATATCTGATAAAATATAATTCAGTACTAAATATCCTTAACAGAAGAACATAAAACGTGTTCTTTTGTAACATGTTTTTCTATCGTTTGTCACATAAACTCAAACTTTTCAACAAAGAACATAAATTTTAAACATTTCTTTAATTAATTACTTAAATTTTAACTTTAAAGAATAATAATTAGAAGAACATTCCAATTTTTATGCTTGGATTCTCTTGGTATTGAATTCAAAGTGGGAATTTGTTTATTTAGTTTAGGGCATCTGATGACGTGGAAAAGTTAGTTAATTATGTTCTAAATTTTATGTTTTTTTAAAAAAACCATTCATTAAAAATTGATTTAGACAAAAATAATTATGTTTTGTTTTTTAACCTTTGACAATGAAAGTCACTAATTTAATAATAATAATAATAATAATAATTTTTAAATTTCCTCGTCAGCAGGTACGACACAACTTTATAAAAAAAAAAAAAACATAATTCGAATTTCGTTTCAGCTAATATTTTATATTTTTTTATTATATTATTCTATCTGAAGTCAATATGATAATCATTAATTCATCCAAATTTTCCTTAAAAAATGTTCTGAAAAAACACCAGGGCCTTGTCGTTTTAACATTTGAAATTCGTTTGAATAAATAATTTGGTTTTTAATTAATAAATAAATTTGTTTGTTATTATAAAAAAAATAAAAATTAAGATTATTTATGTAACCGTGCATACCCAAGATTCCGATCATAATTTGAAATCTGGATTCAGTACTTATACCCTCCGATATTCCGCTACATTTCCTACACTGTTACACGGTCACAAATCGATGAATCTTTACGAGTCTTCTCTACAAAGAGAATTTTCCCCTTCATTCATGCATTAAAACCCCTCTTTAAAAAGTATGACAACTTAGAAAAGAAAGAAAAATTAAATGTCGTCCATGTC